AGGAAGTATTTCAAGCCACTCCTTGTGTTTTCCTAGTCAGGATGTGCCCAGGCTTCTCAAGCCTGAATGTAGGAGTTGATACATGCAAATGAGCTTGTTTTGCTCCTGAGCTCCTGTGAGACAGGTTACAAAGTCCACCCCATGATAATGAGTCAGCACTACGTATACGACACACTCATTAATTGCAAGGTAACCTGTCGGGCATCACAAAGAGAACAGTAGCAGAAAGAAGATGTCTGTCTGAGTTTGACTACTTCTCCCTGGCTGCCTTTTGGTTCACAGCACTCCACCACTCTTCCTTGAAAACGCAACCCTCAGAGCGGTCCTTGTTGTCACGGGCAGCGTCAGAGCCGCGTCCTGTGACGGGCTCGAGCTGCCCCGAGGGATTCCTAGGTTGTCCTCTTTCCAGAAGATGTGCAGGCTTTTCTTCAACTGAGCAGCTGGTAGGTTCTACGCATTGATCTTTTGTTTCACCTCTCTGCTGCTGGACGCTTTTGAAATCACGATTATAACGTGTACCATCAAACACAGCCACAGACGTAAAGAGCAAAAGGGGTTCGTAAAAAGAAAATGGAGAAGAAGGGAATTCATGGATATCATGAGACATGATGAAGGCGAAATTAAAATCTCTAGGTCAGCCCCTGCTGAAGACTGGGTTCTCTGGAAAAGCAAAACCAATGAAGTGTGTGTGTGTGTGTGTGTGTGTGTGTGTGTGTGTGTGTTGTACATGGGAGAGAGAAATGGCTCCCATTTGTCGTGATTGGCAAATCACCAGTCATGGATCAAGCTGCAGGCTGCTCCTCACTAACATAGCTATGAAGGCCAATGACGTCAAGATTAGTGGGTCAGATGGCAAGCTGCTGATTCACAGCCCAGGATTGGAAAATAAGATGTGGGTCATTGGCTCATGGGTTACAGTAGCTGATGAATCCCAAGATTGGCAGGCAATATGGTTAGCCACTGGGTCAAGTTCAATACCCAGAGGTCAGATGATGATCAGTCGGTGCAAGATCCAGCATGACCAAAGGTCAGGGAGCTTTATCAGAATGCCCATATATATTGGATACAGGCCACAGTATCAAGGGAATTTCCCTCCCAATCTGTTCTGACCACATTACATTATATCACAGAGCTGATTACATTATCACAAAAATGGATACTTTCCAAAGAAAGATAATTATAAAGTCATACTTTGATTTTAATATTATACAACTAATAGGCATAATCATAAACATTTATGGCTTATGTTTTATAATAAGCAATAGAAAAGAGGAAGAGGAAAAGACATTTCCTATATATATGAAGGGACTGTCAAATTTTGTGGAAAACTTCCATTATTTTTCTATTCAAATTTTCCATCAACTTTTGAATTCTCCTTGTGTACACACACACACACACACACACACACACCTAAAACAAAACAAGGAAGAAATACTAAAAAGCAATTACAATCTTAATTTCTACAGTGGTCACTTGACTGTAGTTGGTATTTAGAACTACCTTCTTGCACCACCCATTCCATATTTCTTTTTCCCTCAGCAACTATCTCTGGTGGCCATGGTTCTTTGCTGGGTTGGTTGAACCCAAACCTTCATTCCTGAAGTATCTGGACCATTTATAATCATGTTAGAACTGAAGTCCTGTAGTTTTCCATTGATTCTAACCAGAAAGCATGGTAGTACTAAAAGACATCCAAATGAATCTCATATGTCCCAGACATACTCTGCTTTACCTCCATTCTGCAGTATCAATCTGATTTCCCCTTGATAATCAATATCAGTCCCACTAGCCAGAATAGGAAACCCCTCTTTGCCTGTCAATCCAGAGGCAAAAGGAGCCCAAAGTGGTAGAGTAGCATTTTTAAACTTCCAATTCAATGAAAACGGTGTTGCATCTCCTGGTGGAAGCATTCCGTCCTTTGCAACCAGACCCACACAGGGTTAACACACACAAGGTTGTGGGGGCTGGAAGAAAAACATTCTGGAGTTTTCATTAGGGGTAACAGTGAATAATGCCATTCATATCGCTGGACCCCAAATCCTGGCTTTCAGGAAAGCAGTTCTATATACTGAACATGTACAGCTTCCTGAAGAGTATTGCCCCAACGCTGAAAGATATCGTCACTCAACTTGTGCCCTAACTGTGTCCTTAGAAGACCATTTTATCAAGCTGGAGTCTGCAGGGTGACAAGGAACATGGTAAGAACAGTGAATTCCATAAACGGCCCTTCTTTGCTGTGAAATGGATGCAAGCCTAGGTATGCTGGGCCGGATACTGTGACAGTGGTGAGGCGTGCTGCAGGTCCTCAGATGGTAGTTTGGGCAGAAGCTTCATGTGCATGGAAGGCAAATCTGTATCTAGAGAAAGTATCGATTCCAGCATAAGCAAACCATTGCCCGTTTCATGATGGAAGTGTAATCAACATGCTGCCAGGTTGCTGGCTGGCCTACCCAAGGAATGGTGCCATGATGGGGGCAAAATGCTGATCTCTGCTGATGGCAGATTGGGCACTCTGCATTGGCTGTAGCCAAGACAGCCTTGGTCGGTAGAAGCCAATGTTGCTGAGAATAACTTCTATCCCTGCCACCATGGTCAGTTTATCATGAGCCCTTTCAGCAATAACAAAAAGGACTGAGGAAAAAGGATGACCGGTTTCCATAAAATGTGTCACCCTATCCATTTGCTTGCTAAAATTCTCTTCTGATGAAGTAACCCTGGAATGAGCATTCACAGATAAGGGTAACACAAATATCTTCACTTCTTTGACTCATTCAGGTAAGACTGCACAGATACGTTTCTCTGATACCTCTTTGTCATCAATTTGCAAACCATGTGTCTTCCCCAAGCCCCTGACCATCCAGCCATCAGTGACCACAGACACCGAATCAATGTGCAAACGCATGTCTGGCCAATTCTCTTTCCAAGCAAAGTAAGCAGCAATGGCAATGTTCTGAGACGCTTCCCCTCTCCAGTGTCCTGCAGGAAGGTCTCAGAAAGGGACTGCAGCACTGCCGGTGTCCATGTCACACAGAGCCATCCAGGGGCTCTGCACAAATGTCCTCCTCTTACGTCAACTGACCGCAAAGCACCCCACGAAGCTCGAGGTGCAGACTGACACAAGAAAGACAATGTGACAGAAGCGAAGAGCCAACACAGGCATTTGGGCTACTTTTTCATGCAACTTACTTGTGTCTTCAGGTCTTGTTCAAGCCTAATCTTCTGTTATAGACCACTTCCATTTAATGAGAGAGTGCTGCTGAGGGATA